CACACACACATATACCGTATATATATATATATGATAGATAGATTGAGACAAAAACGGGAGGAAGAAGGGCAACCCGTTCAAGATGATAGGATTTAGGTTGTTGATTACCTTGAATAAATTGTTGTACATATTACTCATCAAATTGATGATGTGTCCTTTCACAGATAATTCATACAATGCTAATTAACCTGCCAACAATTTCGGGGGTCAAAGTTGCCAAAGAGGCTGTTGTGGAAGCAAAGTGAACGCTAATGCTATTCAAGGGACCATTGAGACTCACTTGTGAAGATATGAGGAGCAGATAAAATGCTCCTGAATCATTTAAATGCATTGAGAGTCACCGCTTTTCAGTAACGGCTCCCTCTCCTCTCCCTTCTGACATTGAAATGAAGACAAACAAAAGACAAGGAGTGACGCAGCTTCACAGACACACACACGCATGCTCAGGCAGCAGATTGTATCTTTGCTTATTTATGAGTCTCAGACATGTTCTTTGGTGTGGCGTATCTAATGGTTTGAGCTCTCGTGAGTATTTGCGCACTTTGTTACTCAGCAGTACATGTTTTTAACATTTTTTTGTTTTTTTCACTGAGCACTTCTCTCCTCTTCACACCTTCACCCTTCCTCTTCTCACTCAATCACCCAGCCCGTTTCATTCCTCCATCTGATTTTCCTCCAACTCAGACAGGTCAGATTCCTCATTCCTCCGTTTTTGTATCCTGCCTGTCTGTCATTGGGTCAGTTCTGTCTTGTGTCTTTCAGTCAGCGTGTTTGCTTATCATCTGATTGTAAAAGATGGCAGATTGTTTGTCATGCTGGTCGTGGACAGTGCCAGGGGAAGCCTTCAGAGGCAGTTTGCCAGTTAGCAAGCATAGTTCAGCAGTTTATGAGATTGTATTGATCTTGCTTGCACAATATGTCCTTTGGCTGTGGTTCAAGTTGATCACAAATCATCTCTTATGCTATTACTTAAAACATTACTAGCTGGCATACCTAGGAAATGCCTTTGACATTTGTACTCTTCCTAATTGGTGCCAAACCTTTTTCTTGGTCTTGATCTCTGAGAACTATCCTGACACAAGTCTCTAATGTACTTTATGGAACCATTTGCAGCAATTATTATCTGGAGCACTATCACCCTACATCACCCCTGCCCCCCCCCAAAAAAAAACCCAATTATATAAATAAAAATAAAGATAAAGTTGCAGCCGGAAGTAGCCGGGTTGACGACTGTGGCACTGGATGGAAATCAAACCTGTACTGTCCGTATAAAAGGCAGCATCATGTACTTTGACACTACCTGTAGTCCCAAATAATGAAAAACAAGTATGGCAGTAATTAAGCGTGCCTTCTTCCGCCATGTGATCATGCATTGTTAAGGCACTGCGCGAATCAATTCATTTTACACTCATTCATTATTTGCCAACTTATTTATTCATCCTCATGTCCTTGAATGTAGGAACTGTCATAACTCCTGGAATATTAGTAGCAGGATTTACATTTGTGTTTGACTGGAATACCTGTTTACATCGTCGCGATTTACATTTGACAAAATCATCCGTGAATTCCTTTCCCCTTTTTGCTTGGGGCCTCATTGCCTCATCTGACCAGGCAAAAAAAAAAAAAAAAAGGACAAGGGCTTCAGTAAATCTGTCTGTGAGTGTCCTGAGTCAACAGTGTTTTGATCTGCTGCTGTTTATCTAACCTCCTGTGTCTGTGTCACAGGACATCCCTTTGTCTGCCTCTAGGGGAACACACACACACACACACACACACACACACACACACACACACACACACACACACACACACACACACACACACACACACACATATATTCATGGCTCCAAGATCAACGCACACCTTTGTCATATTACATATTTGTCACGAAGCGGGGGTGGTGGAGGACCCCAAAAAGCAGGCAGGAGGGAGGAGCAGGGTGAGCTTGACAAAATGTATAAATCAGACACTGAGAAAAACAAATACAAAACAAGCAAAGTCCGTCAAACAACAAGAATTCAAAGTAGCAACAAAACCCATGGCATAAGCAAAAAATATGACGTGATAAACACAAATCAACAGAAGCAGTGACAGCAACAGAAACAGAAACAGCAACAATGACCCGACACCGAGTGGTCGGGGCGGGAGTCCTTTTAACAGAAAACCTACTAATGACATGATGACCAACAGGTGTGCCAATGTAGGAGGAGCCCTACACAGACTTGAAGTGGGATTGGTCAGTGTTAAGTACAGAGTAACGCTACTTCATTGAGAAAAAGACAGTAATCATAGCAGAACAAACAATTAAAATTAAAATTTGATCGAGGTTTCACTGCAGGATTTTGCAAGAATCCCGTGTCAAGAAATTTTCAAATATAAAGAATGAGACGAATCAAATAGGGAGAAGGACTTGGAGGAAGCCAACATCTCTTCATTTGTTTCCTCTTAACACAGAGGAATCAGGACAGATATTAGGTGGAAGCTGACGGTGACCAGAGATGACACCTATGGCATGCAGTGTTCATCCCAAGGGCGCGTGTGTGTTTCTTTTTCATTCCTCCGTGCTCGTTCGTGTACGCGTGACTGAGAAGGAAGAGAGAATATTTAAAGATGATTTGTCGTGAGAGAGTCAACAATGACCCGACACCGAGTGGTCGGGGCGGGAGTCCTTTTAACAGAAAACCTACTCATGACATGATGACCAACAGGTGTGCCAATGTAGGAGGAGCCCTACACAGACTTGAAGTGGGATTGGTCAGTGTTAAGTACAGAGTAACGCTACTTCATTGAGAAAAAGACAGTAATCATAGCAGAACAAACAATTAAAATTAAAATTTGATCGAGGTTTCACTGCAGGATTTTGCAAGAATCCCGTGTCAAGAAATTTTCAAATATAAAGAATGAGACGAATCAAATAGGGAGAAGGACTTGGAGGAAGCCAACATCTCTTCATTTGTTTCCTCTTAACACAGAGGAATCAGGACAGATATTAGGTGGAAGCTGACGGTGACCAGAGATGACACCTATGGCATGCAGTGTTCATCCCAAGGGCGCGTGTGTGTTTCTTTTTCATTCCTCCGTGCTCGTTCGTGTACGCGTGACTGAGAAGGAAGAGAGAATATTTAAAGATGATTTGTCGTGAGAGAGTGGCAAAACAGTGCAGCCACCACAGGCTCCGATGATCAATGCACACACACATAGGCCTTGAGCTATCATTCAGGCTGATGGGAAAGGCTTTGGTCATTTAATTCTTTTCTGGGTAGAAAATGTCTGTGGGTGCAAGCATAGCATTGTGCATCAGCAACTGCATTTTTGCAGGAAAACAGTCTCATGCAAACACATCATATGCAGTATACATTGTAGAGTGATGAACCGATTTGCACAAACTCACTAAGCACAGCCTCCTATCGTATCGCACCGCGGATGGCATCACTTATGAGGTACAGAGCTAATTGGAGATGTTTTACATAACACAGCAAAACACAGATGATAAACAACCGAGCAGTGAAGGACAAGGCATGCACAAGCAAATGAATGGTGATAATACAACTGATAGCATCCACCCATCCATTTTCTGAACCGCTTTATCCTCATAACATGTTTTACATAATACAGCAAAACACAGATGAATAAACAACTGAGCAGTGAAGGACAAGGCATGGCCAAGCAAATGAATGGTGATAATACAACTGATAGCATCCACCCATCCATTTTCTGAACCGCTTTATCCTCATAAGGGTCGCGGGGTGTGCTGGAGCCTATCCCAGCTGTCTTCAGGCAGTAGGCGGGGTACACCCTGAACCGGTTTGCCAGCCAATTGCAGGGCAGACAGAGATGAACAACCATCCACAGAGGCCAAAGAGAGAACAGAGCAAAACAAGAGACGTTTGTGTTGGAGTTGCATTTTATACGTATATATGTGAACTGGGAAGGCAGTGCTGTGAGGAAGGAAATAGACAAAAATTGAGCTTTCCACTGCTGTATTTATGTCCACTTCAGCCTGCCAGTTGTCTACGGCAACCTGCAGTGCAGCAGTCAAGAGTGGAAATGAAAGTGCCCCGACACCACATTAACAGACAACCTTACACACGCACACACACACACACACACACACACACACACACACACACACACACACACACACACACACACACACACACACACACACACACACACACACACACGGCTGTGTCCTTCAATAATTTTTAAGTTCCTGACGACGAAGCATTTTTGTAAGTAAATTAACTACAGTAGATAGCCTTCAATAACGTTTAAGTTCCTGACGACTAAGCATTTTTGTAAGTAAATTAACTACAGTAGATAGTCAGACTTTTGCTCTACCGCGTGAAAAGCATGAGCAAATGCAGATACGAGCATCAACATATTGAGGCAACATATTGAAATCAATAAGATAATACAGTGAAGAAAAGAAAACAAGAGGAATATGAAAGGCACAGAAGTGATCGGGCAGAAAAGGGACCAAAAGCTTCATTGCCATCATTCTGAGATGTACACTTGTGTGCTGTCTTCATTATACATTCAGCCCCCTCGAACAAAATCTACACAACTCAGGGTGGGGGGGAAACTGCTCTGTCAGCCCACTTCAGCCTGCTGCTTGACCTTCATACTGTGCTGGTGTGCGTGTGTGTGTGTGTGTGTGTGTGTGTGTGTGTGTGTGTGTGTGTGTGTGTGTATCTCATGTAACTCTACATACAAACAACTATGAAATAAAAAAAATTTAGGAATTGTTCTCGTTTTAATCATAATATTGTATTGTATTGTATTTTTTTTGTAATGGTGAGCCACTTTGATGTTAACGACACATAACATTCTTGAATTTACATGCTTCCCGTACTTATAAATGCTTCATTTGCTAATCAAAGTATACATGTAATATTTAGGTAGACTTCTTTACTTCTTTAATAAAAAATAACTTACCTGTTTTGACATGATTGAGTGCTTATACCCGCTAACAGACGACAAATGTCTCACCCCACCAGATGTGTACCGAAAGGAGGACAACATCACGGTTACACCACCAGGGGGAGTCATCCATAGCCCACGTTTCCCCAACTCGTATCCACGCAATCTGCTGTTGTCATGGACGCTGGTGTCGCCACCGGGAAGTCGGATACACCTGGAGTTTGACGGTCACTTTGGCCTGGAGGAGGCGGAGAACAATGTTTGCAGGTAACACATGGGGAATATACACAATAGATGGCAGAGGTGGGCATTATCAGTCCCGTGAGTCTGTCAATGAGCTGTCGCCAATATTTCAGTTGTCCGAGTTCTTGGCGACACCCAAACAGCATTGTGGCACCCGTGTGTGATGTGGAAATTACGTTCTCGATGCTGCTTGGCTGTCGCCGACAGGGGTGACCTGAAATATTGACAGAACCAGTGACGGACTGACGACGGACTGACAGAACTTCCGTCAGTCTAACGGAATGCCCACCTCTGGTAGATGGAGAATAGAGACGTGGCTGGAATCTGAGACCCTTGTTTATATTTAAATTGGAAGACAAAGGGCTCTCTTTTTGTAGACATGCAGAGATGCTTGCGTATTCTGATTTTCCTGCAGGCGCAAGCACTGCCGCTGCTCGTGTTAGCCAATTTGGCCGACCGGTCTTTCTAGCGTAGCAAGGGTGTGTACTTGAAGATAGACTAGGCGGTATAACAATTTGATGGCAGAAAATTGGTCCTAAATTTGGTGAATTTCTTTTAGGCACAGGAGGACTGATTCTGAGCTTCGCAGGCATGTGCGTGCAAATCAGGCGCATTTCATTCATAAATATGATGACAATGAGCATCTGAATAACAAATGAAGTACCAATGTAGAAATCAATTAATTGCACTCATTAATATCATTTCTATCATCATGATGTTTTGTAAATCATCTCTGTACTGGTTGGCAAATATTGTGGCGTGGAGTGGCTGGGGGGGGGGCACAATCAGGAGGGGGATAGATACATGAAGTCTGTGGACATATTTAAGCTGGCCAGCCGTTACCAGCGGCTCATTCTGCATTTAATGAGGGCACCCGCTTACGTTGTCTGATGCCACACCAATCAGCAGCAATGACAATGCTCCCATCATGCAGGGAGCATTGTCCTTTTGTCCTTTTCTGCACAGAGACGTCTCCATGCGAGATGTGATTGCGCCACATTAAAGGGAACGAGGGGAGAGTTGGCCGCGTGCAAGCCGGCGTGTGCGTGTCTGCGTAGTTACCAACACGCACTCTAACTGGCCTCAACAGAGACTCACATTGCTCAGTGCGCCGGCTTTGTGCCGATCATGCAAATGGGGTCTCGAAAGGTTGCTAGCGGAATGATTATGATGGTGCAGGGTGGTGATGGGTGGGTGGCCCTCAGAATTCAAAAATGTTCTAGCCTTGACGAGGAATGAAAAGAAGTGAAATTAAGCTTTGTGTTCATCAAAGCATATCTTCAGTGCACTGGCAACAGAAACCATCAAAGACTTTATACACAAGCCACCGATGGTGCCGCATTCTTGATCGATTTCACAGTACTAATAAATGCATCGCGTGGTCATCCAGTTCCAGGTTCAATATTTTTGGGGTGTAACTCAACATTTTCTTTAACCTTGTGACTTTTGTGAGCATGATACAAAGCACCAAATTGTTTGACTGTAATTGATGATGTCTCAGTCATGAGCCACAAAGGTGTCATATTTTTTTTTGTATCATCTACTTATTGATGTTTTTGTTGGCCTCTTCCTCTGTATTATTCACCGCAGGTATGACTTTGTTGAGGTGGAGGACCAATCACAGACCAGCACTATCATTTGGGGTCGTTGGTGTGGACAGAAAGCACCGCCTAGTCTCAACTCCAAATCTAACATCCTCAAAATAACCTTCAAATCTGATGATTACTTTGTTGCAAAGCCGGGATTTAAAGTCTACTATTCATTTCTGGTGAGACACTTGCACACATACACGCACACACACACAGCTGACAGAAAACTGAGTTGCTCTTTTACGACTGTCACATCTGACTTGATCTGTTTCTTTCACACTTTTTTTTTTAATTGTGGAGAGCTAGACATACATTCACAAAAGCATTCGCAACCCTTCACTAGGCTCCCTGAGGATAAATTAAATCTTCATGCTGTGTTTTTTGCGACATACACAAAAACCGAAAGGTGCTTACTGATGCGCATGAATGGCGAGGTGTCAGTTTGACGGGGGCTGGAGACAAACAAGCCTCCTCGGGCTTTGCTGCCTTGCTCAAGTACTGGCATCCTTTGGGACCAAACACCTAACCTACTGTCGAAGTCAAACTAATGTTGTCTCGCCGCATGTAATTAGACAGTGGGAGCTTTCGAAGCTTACAGTGGAGCCTCAAAAGTCAAAGCCATTTTTGTTCTAAGATGCCGTTCGACTTGTTTGGCTTTCAAAACAATGTTTCCCATGGGAAATAATAGTCCTGGCAAAACTCCAGTTCAACGCTGGATAAAAAAATTAAACAAAATAAAAAACAGTCATGAACCTTAATTAACTCTACAGGCATCACAGATGTGATCTCTCTTTTTTTGTTTTGCAATACAGCACTATTTTTTTTAAATTCTTTTTGCTCAGAATTGCCTTCATTTACACAACAACAGTTTTTTGGACATAGAACAATGTAAAAAGGGGAGGTTTTTAATCATGGTTTTGTTGTTCCTTGCTGAAGCACTGAAAAACTTTCTGAAAAAGTTTTTTTTTTTTTCAATTCATGAGCAACTATGTCAGAACAGCAGTGGTGGAGAATAGGAAACATAGGTGGTCTGCTGTGGTGCTCAACACAATGAGCTTGATGAGGTTTAGCAAATGCTACATTTATTGCAGTACGTACAATACACTTTTGCATAAGACTGTGACCAAAAAAAGTACAGGGTTTTGAAACCTCATGCAGTAATTTCTGTTCTTTTAGCAGTCCATACAGCAAAATCATCGTCTTTCCAGAAGGCGATGAATGAATGAATAAATAAATAAATAAATAAATAAATAAATAAATAAATACGGGTTCCGTATTTTCTGAATCGGTCTTGTGTAAAACTACTCTCAACATAATATTGACATGTGGATAAAATGCCCAAAAGGTTCTGAGTTTGAATCTGCGTATGGACCTTTCTGGGTGAAGTTTACATATTCTGGTTTGGGTACGAAGACATTTTGTTTGCTGTATGTTCCCGCTGCCCAGTGATTGGACGGCAAGTAATCCAAGGTATACATATACCCAGTGGTATGCGGTTGTATACTTCAAGGCCTTGTCTGCTGAATGACATGAAATTGCATTAGTCTATTTCCAACAGTTACATTATCTTCATTTCATAGCGTGCGCCCTGGCTGCCCAGGTTCTAGTCATATGTATCTATGTTAGAATCTTTTCCCAATCAGATTTCAGCTTCTGTGTGTTGCAATTTCAACGTGATCCGCCCGGGGGCCTTCAGAATCTGAGTGGCGGTGTATGACGCAGAGGCACTATAACAATGGCGGTTTTTTAAGAAATAAAACAGATTTCAGATTCACCAAACTGGGCCTGCTCACCGGATCACAATGACATTTTCTCGTCGTCGGATGAGTAAATGAGGAAATCAGCGTAGTGGTTTTGTTGGTAAGAGGAAAGAAAAGAGGACCTCTGATGTTCCTCACCCTGTCATCAGAGGGAAAGAGGGGGAATGAAATAGCAGTAGAGAAACGGAAAATCTTTTTAAGAATGCTGCCTGGCTTCCTCTTTCATGTCACAGATGGGGCTGAACATTGATCTTTATCTGAAAAAAAAAGGTGGTACGATGAAAGTCTAGTTGCAGAGAGAAATAGTGCATCTGTCAAACATTCTTTGCTTTCATTCTTTCATTTTGACAGGAAAGCCTTTGTGACGGCAGTTCCCATTACAATCTGTGCTAAAAGGTTCGGCTATGTGTAGATGCAAAACTCTATAGTTGCACATAATTTTGCTCTCTTCCCCCCGTCCTCTTTCCCTCTCCTTGTCAAATTCTCATCAAGTCCCCACTTTGATGAATTGTAACCATTTCAACAATTTCTCGTTTGTGTCTGAGTCATGGTGTACACAAGTTCTCTGCAGCTGTGCTCAAGTTGTGTGGCCAGCAGGTCTAATTTGTTCTCTTCAGAGCTGCCAAACTGATAAGAGGGAGGAGATGTAGAGGCAGCAAGTGGGAAGGAAGGGGATTGAGGAAAGAGAGAACAGGTGTCTGAGATGGTATCAGCGAATCAGCTAATGACTTAAATGCCTGCACTGAGAGACGAAAACAGAAGGATATTGTATCGAAGCAATCAGAGTGCATGGACTGAGCTGGATTCATCCGGAAACATGAAGGTTAGGAAAGAAAAACTGAACCCGAATTGCTTTGTTGCAGTTGTTGCATTATCTCGAATAATTCAAAAAGCAATAATCATCTCAACAATGACTATAATTGGATTGAAAGTCGAGAAACAAAATAAGATGTATCGGGGAACAACACAAAAAACGCTTTAAAAATGTGGCGGCTCAATCACATGAATTTAAAAATGGAGCTGAAATGCTCGATTAGAAAACACCACTGAAAACCGACAGGCATATTTATCACGTACGTATGTCCCGTAAACATTTAGGTTCCTATTTTTGAGCCCAGCGGAAGTCTAGCACAAAATGCATTCTAACTGTCCACATGGGTGGCGTTTTCATTCTTTTGGAATGGGCGTTTGTATGAATGAGCACAGCTGAGTGGATTGCCGGCCAATCAAAGTCGCTCCTCTTGTTCCCTTGAAATTCAGTTAGTGAAGGCATGCTGTCTACTTTGCGGAAGCTGAAACAGACTTGTTGAAGGTTATGCAGGATCTTGCGCGTACAAAGTAAGTTAATAAGGAACTGCAAGATCACCACTTGTGGATGATGTTAAGTTGGCTGCCAATTGTGCATTTTGGGTGATATATATATATATATATATAATGACATCACTGCCACAAAACAAGCGGTCAAATAATCCAGCCAGGTGCTGTGTGTGCTTTAACTGTGGATTTCAGTCAGAATTGTGCAGGTTTGTTTTGAAATGTACCCTGTAATTATTGGATGGCTCCCAATGTACAACACTTCTTGTACAAATATTTTCTCAAACGCATTTAGCCACATGAAAAAAGTAATTATATATATATATATATGTGTGTGTGTGTGTGTGTGTGTGTATATATATATATATACACACACACATATATTCGATAATAAATTATGATTAGGAAATGTATGTCTATTACATTCGTCCACCAACCTTTCACACCAAGTAGCACCAAAATAAATAACTAATTTAGTAGGTTTAAGTGACCATGAAAAGAATACAATTTAAATTCAGTGTCACCATGCACAGTTTGAACACTAACACTGCGCCTAAACAGAAAATTTGTACTAGAAACTTAATTCCAACTAAACGGTAGTCCTGCAGTGATTCTTTCACTTCCCACTAGATTGCACCTAGGTACGACTAGTACCACACTTGAAGAATCGCTGGTCTTATATAAGGAAATGGGAATCCTCTCAAATAAATATCTTACGTCTTACTACTCTCTCTAGTTGAGTAAATTTACACCCCAGGCACTGTATGAAGTAAGGAAAACGGTTCATTTTCCGAGCAGGACAAATATTAATACCAGACGAGAATGTGTGCTGAAACTGTGCCTTTTTTCAAACGTCAGTGTCCTGGTTGTCTGGGGTGAAAGGCCACGGTAAAATGCTGGGGCCTTCGTGGCCATCGAAGACACATTTAATCCTCACTTGTCTCACTGTCCGATTGTACCAAATGGAGTTTGAGAAGGGCAGCTCCCTGGTGTCACCACCACTCCGCTGCTTCTGTAAAAAAGGGGCTGAGCTCTTGCCGCCTGCAATACCGCCAGACTCGCCAAGGATATTTTTCAGTGGTCAATATTGTCACATACATGATATAATCAAACTATGTTGAAAAAAAAGAGGTCACATTTGTTTAATTAAGGGTCAGGTGATGTTTATTGACTCTTGATACAAGTACATGTTTGTGCACACCATTTGGCAGACTCAGTTTGATCTCTACTTCCAATTTTTCTCAAAGTTGTGGAAGTGGCCCATATGTGGATGAACGTAACCTTAAAAGGAGATGATAGCCACGTTGTGTTCACTCTCTTGCACGCACATTTGCGGGAAAGCCTCTGACCTCATTCACACAGCTGGTCAAGAAGAATAGATGCCAGAATTTGTTGAGCATTTCCTAACATTTGCAGATGTAAACAATCACAATATTACTTTGGTGTTCCAAAGGTGAACTTTCCCCATCTGCACCGGAGATGCAATTCAAGATTTAAAAGAGATGGAGATAATACCACATGTGAGGGCCTGAAAGTGATTGAATTGTATTTTTGCCAGACACATTTTATACTTGTCATATGAACATAAAAGTGCATTTGATTTAAGTTAATAATTGTGTTGGCCTAGGGGTAGGGAACTCCGGTTCCCCGAGAGCCATCTCCTGCCTGTTTTAGATCTCTACACACCTTACCAACACACCGAATTGAAATGATCAGGTCATCAGCAAGCTCTGTAGAGGCCTGAAACGATATTGAACAATTGAATCAGGTGTGATGGAGTAGGGAGGGATCTCAAACAGGCAGGAGATGGCTCTCGAGGCACCGGAGTTCCCTCCCCCTGTGTTGGCCGATTGGAACTTACAAAAATAGCACTGTAGATGTTTTTTTTTTTTAATTTAAGGAACTGAGGGGCACTGGAGAAACTATTGTCACTTATTTTATTCATTAGTATGACACAAAAATCAATTGTGATTAGAGCTGCAAAATATATTTCAAAACAAAAATCATCAGTGCGATAAGGGACTGTCAAATATGCATATTGCAAAGATGTGCAATAAGTTTCATATGGAATTGTATTTGACCAATCAGATACAACCTTAAATGTGCTATATGAGAATAGCATTTAGGGGCCTTACTAACACACACACTATATATATATATGAAAATGTAATTTTGTTTTAAATATTCCAGTATCAATGCATGTGGTTTGTACGACACTGTTAGTCAATGGACATTTGACCCGTTGAAATAATGCTTTTTGTCCCTTTAAGACTTCTGTTTGAGTACCCCTGAAAAAAAAGATGTGAAAAGAATCACATTAAACTGTAGTAGTCATGGAAATCTGGTATAATCAGTTGATCAACTCATCCATTATTGCTGCATTTCTTCCCCCTAGGCTGGCACTCCTCTGCCTGCATCCCAAACCAACTGGGAGGCCGTCACTATGTCGGTGAGTCCTACATATGGGTTAAATGCTGAAACTCTCGACTGCAAAACTGAATAAACGTTTGCATTGTAATTACCTGTAAGCGAAAGTGCTGTTCAACACCACGTTAATTTAATTCATTTGGTCTGCAAATGTGTGGCTGCCTTCATTTTAATTGAAAAAATAAACACCCTTTTTTCTTTTTTAATCATCTAATTTGTGTTAGTGTCAACCACATTGTTCAAAACATGCAGTTTGTCGTCAATCCAACCCCCAGCACGTTGGACGACGATTCTTAAACACAAAGAAATGTTGAATGGTCACATGAATAATTATTATGACAGAACGCCCATCTGCACGGACCAAGGCACAGCCACATATTACACGCGCACGGTCGAGTCATGCATACACCATCGTCCATATATTATACATGAGGCTTGAGATGTAAAATGTCATGCCTTCTTAGATTAATGCTTTTGTAAGAAGCATGTAATCCTTGTAATTTGTGTATGTCTCTATGTAAGCGCCGTGTGGTCAGCGAAGTATGAAATCATAATAATTAGTGTGCGTTGTTACACATGGCACTTTTTATGCATGGACTGGACTACATAGGGGATGCATGTGCACGGGTTTGCCCCAGTTTTAAGATTCAAAATGAAGAGACAACAATTACATGCAACGCGTATGGATAAAAAAAAAACATCCATATGGCAGTAGAGTACAAATGTCCCGTATCATCTGCTCTTGTCGCGTAAACTATGGGTTGTCACAGTCATTTTGTTTGCATTAAACATCACTTTCAGAATCCTTCATGTAACCTACAATGTAAACGGGGTGGAATAATATTGTTGTTTTTGTTTTGTTTTTTTACTCTGATTCTTAGGATAGCAGTCCTGTGGGGCCGGTAGCAGTCACAGAGGTTCCTCTCTCATTAGATGACCTGGATCGAACCATTGCTGCCTTTGACACTGTGGAACAGCTTTTGAGATCGCTGAACCCAGACACTTGGAAACAGGACCTGGACAGCATTTACACACAAACACACATTCATTATAGATCCAGGGCTTATCATCTGGCAAGCAGGCACAACAAAGGTATGTTTGATTGTACATAAAGTTCACTGAAGATCATTGATTGGTCACGATCAATGAACACTTACACACTTGTGGGCACAAATCCTTATCTTCAATAAACCATATAGAGAGAGAGAGAGCGTATAGATAGAGGCAGGATAGAAGGAGCGCTTTTACAAAACAAGATCAATACCAAATTTAAAAAATGATGGCTTTTATATTTCAAAAGCTCTTTAATGATGCTTGAAGGAAGTGTCACCGGGCAAATGTACAGTGAGAACGGACTGTTTCTTCGCACACGACACAACATAGCTGACTCTGAGGGATACTTCTATTTTTTTCTGTTGATTTATTGTGGCCTCAAGCGTATTGCGCTCAGTCAAGCCAAGCCTCATTGCGACACGACACTGCAACTCCATGGCAATAGCTTTCGTTCGCGTGATCAATTCATGATGACGGTTTGACCACTTTGTTTTAGTTCAAAATTTCAGACAATTATTTCCCCTAAAAGTCGGTCGGTGTCATTGTTATTTTCATTTGGTGTACTGGTGTATAGATTCACGAAATTGTGAGGTCTACAGGATGTCAAGGACAAATGCTCACTCAAGCAATGTAATTTTCCTCTTGATGAACTCAAAAGAGCAAATGTCAGAGTAGATTTGGCACAGAATCCTTTCTTGCAAAGAACGCTTCAGGCTGGTCGCAAATCCGAATATATTTGACTGCATCTCTTCAACCATGCATACCTGCCGTTCGTTTACTCTTGGGTGTTGTTCAGAAATCTCAACAAAAAGATTCATCACGCTCCATCTCGACTTCATTTTGCTTAACCACGCTCATATATAGCGACATGCAGTCCTTAATAAAAGTGCACAACCTCCACCGAGTTAAATCACGGTGGCAGTGATGCATTATTCAAGATCATTTGTCTCGTGTCAAAAAAAAAAAAAAAAACTGTTAGACATCATTGTTGCCAACAAGCTCACTGCACACAAAAGGTAACGGAAGAAAAGGTTTTGAATATTCTTTAAAAATAAACGTAATGATTCCCTGGTGTTCTTTGGTAAATGTTTGAGCTCTACAACAAATCCGTCTTTATCTGTACTAGATTATTCTATGAACTGATGGTTGTTCTATATGTTGGAGAACACATATGCAGCCCCTGGCTGCTGGTTATTTATACGACATACCACCTCACCCTGATTGGAAATTCAGCTTGTGCAGTGGAGCAGAAATATGCCGCAGTCAGAAGCTTACCTTTGTTTTCTTGAAGAGACACATCTTCGCTAGCTCACATTCTCCTTTCCTTGAAATCAACAAACAAGATCATACTTAGAATTGAATGAGTTTGTAACTTAGGCTACATGCAAGCAAAATAATACATACAGTAATTGCTTACAAAACGTCCTCTTAGTTAATCTTTCTTTGGTGGTTCAAAAAATGCAAATTAACAGCAGTAGCCATACATTTGTTAACTAACAGGTCAGAAGCAAATGTACAAAGATGGGCACTATTTTGCCAATCCGTCCTCCGTCCATGACCTGGGTACCCTTCCGTCATCGTCCCTCTGTCCTTATTCATATAATAATCATCCTGCATCCCCGTCCTTTTAAAGCGCTTCCGTCCCAACCCTTATTTAGTGTTTTGGCAATGACAGAGACATTCTAAACCACAGTCAACAACCCATTGTCGCACTTTGGTAGCAGTCTCTCAAATGCTGAATACGGATTTTTTTCTTTATACTTTATGTTTAGCGCCTTTTCCAAATATAAAAAAAAAATACAATCAAATCTAGTGACTCTTTATCTCTGTTATTGGAGTTCTGAATCAAGTAAATTGTCCATATTTTGTCACCTTTTGGGTTAAGAATGAAAATGGTAAGGTTATATGAATGATTCTTAGATATCTTCCTAATTTACGTGAATGACAGTCAATATCACATCAATAGCAGAAGTATTACAAAGTATTTTATTTTTATTTTTTATTGCTCACATTAACTTTTGATGATCATTTCACTTGTTTGCAGCAAAGACCGATTCTAAACAAGTAACATCTGCTAGGCTCCTACTTATGCTCGTTATCTGTTTAAAATGAGCTGTGCTCACTCCACTAAATGCTTACTTTCTTCATTATTTCAATTGAACAATTACATCCTGCCAAGATGGCGATTTCGGTTAGCACCTTCGCAAAAAGAAACCTGGCCTGAACTACGTATATTGAAGTTGTGTACACATCTGTTGCAAAGCAAAAATAAGAATAATTGTCATTGACCTTGATATTTCTATTAATCACTCATTGAAGATGAGCAACAAAGTATAAGAGTCTGACAGTTATATATACATGGCTGTTATTTGCCACACTGATATAACCCAACCCGTCTTTGGTAGAGAAGTAGGCTCTTGAATAGGACGACTGTTAAAACACGTTTCAGACAAAAACACTTTTTTGTTTCCTCAAGAGGAGGATTTTTACAATGACGCTGCTACTGAGACGAACAGAAATGTGCAAACGATGGTTAAATCAGCCAGCCTTCAAATAGTACATATGTGTAATTACCACCCTGAGGGGTGACAGTGGGGTGATTACACTTCTTATTTTGACCTTTGTCAAGAGGACACTCTAGCCTTGATTGCTGCTCTTTTTTTTTTTTTGTCTTCCACAAAAGTGACTCGTGTGTTTCTCAAGCTACCTTATTTCACAGGCGATGCATTCGAGCTCTCCCTCAGTCTTGCCCTTTCGACGAAGCATATTGCACTTCTACTGTATCATTGCCTCTCCATTACAAAAAGCCCTCATGTTGAATATTGTGAACTGACGATAAAAGCATACACTACTACACCATACCATAAAAACCATGCTTTATGGTTTGTTTTACTGCCATGAATTTTCACATGTCCATGAAAACTCTGCAGAATAGGGAATAAATTAGTGATGGCATCAATGCCAGTATTCAGTACATTCCGTGTATGTGTGTGTGTGTGTGTGTGTGTGTGTGTGTGTGTGTGTGTGTGTGTGTGTGTGTGAAATAACGATGAAAGAATGACGGACTGATAATGACGAACTGGCAGGCCGGCGGAAGGCAAATAGCAGACCAATGAAATTTACTGATGGACCCACCATTGCTGTGACTCATGTCAACAGTTTTTTACTGATAGTCCGGAAGTAGCGGTCATGAACTGGAATTTCGCGATGATGAAAGCGCGTTTAAAATAACAATGACGGAATGACGCACCGGGTCGGCTTTACATTTCCTCAATTGGAAAGGATTACATTTGTGAAACAAGCTTCCACTGCGTTTAAATTACTCCTGATGTCAAATGAGGCTGCAAAAATGGCCGTCTTCTCTGAAATATGGCTAACTAGCGAGTGTTAAACAGTATTCATACTCAAATGAATTGAGAAAACCTGAGTGAGGTATAACATGAAGTGAACTGACTGGCAGATTCCATCCCACTTTTCTCTTTCTCTGGGCAGTTGACCTGAATCGCCTTCACGATGACGTAAAGCGCTACAGCTGCACCCCTCGCAACTATTCTGTGAACCTGCGTGAGGAGCTCAGGGCCACCAACGCCGTCTTCTTCCCCCAGTGCTTGCTGGTCATGCGCTGTGGCGGCAACTGTGGATGTGGCACTAATAATTGGAACAACGGCTGCACGTGTCAGGCCTCGAAAACCACGCTCAAACTACACGAGGTAGTTCACACATCGCGAAGACATCATTAGCGCATACAATTGAACAAGAAAGACTCGACGTGAGAACATTTGGGGGAGACAATTCACTAGTCATTCAGGATTTTACTGATTCATTTTGCCGTCATTATTTGTATAATATTCTAGTAGTCCAACAGTAGAAGAAATATGATGAACATATGTTTGGTTTCCTCCCACATTCCAAAAAGTTTCAAATTTGGTACATCGAAGACTCTAAAATTGACTGATTTTAGAGTATTTTCCTGAATTCAACAATTTCAGGTATTCTCACCACGAACGACCAAATCAGGCAGCCATAGCCAGGCAATTTGAACCACAGCCAAAGCATGATTCGACCTTGAGACATAATCCCTGCACATTTCTGCACATCACCGGAGCAGTCACTGCTCTTGAGGGGTGTGGCAACAGTCAGTGTGCGCAGGTACCCTCATTAAATCCAGAATGAGTTGGCGATAACCCCTGGAGACTTAAATATGGCTGTATGTCATGTACTGGATCCGTCCAAACCCGTGATCGTTCATGTGGGCACCTACGCCCCCACCCCCCCACGAGATGAACGCCGGCCATCTTGATATGTCATATTTCTGAAATAAATGGCATCCACACACGAATCTGTCTGCCTGTGCCCCGATCAAATTCATCAAATCAGTCTACCTATTGCGGCGGACATCCATAAGGTCCCATCAGGTGTGAGGTTAAGACAACATGACCCCAAATTATCAGATGGTACCTACCATGTCCATGTCAAACACAGCCTCGATACACCAGTGCGATTCATTAACCAGTGCCCATTCCGACCCAAGATTCATCATGCAACCGCAGGAGCCAGTCTCCGGACTCGCCCCGAACAGTAAATCCCATTGATGGAAGCTTCCTTGAGACTGTGACCCACCAGACTATTTTCCTTTCCCTCACCCATTCCTGCTCCGCCGGTGCACATTCTGTGGCCACCACCCGTTCTTGTTTTGAAGGCACAAGCCCTGCAGCCGCACTCCAACCCTGCACTTGCAGCACCGGCAGGTTCCTGTTCCGGGGGTCCCACGGTCACCACCCAACCCTGCTTTGGCGGCGCAAGCCCTGCGATTGCTACGCGATCATGCTTGGGCGGCGCAAGCCCTGCGGCCGCCGTGCTCGCCCTGCCTTTCCATGTCTCCCTCCTGAAGACGGTCTACTCTAGCCTCCTTAGCCGTCTGCAGTCATTTTGGATTTTTGTACATACAGACGCTCTGTTTTTGCACTTTACCGTCCGATCGGCTTCTGGGTCCAAATTCTGCTTCTCAACTGACAACGGGGGTCCTTTTAAAACGGCCGCCACCCGTTCTTGTTTTGGCGGCGCAAGCCCTGCGGTTGCTACGCGATCATGCTCGGGCGGCGCAAGCCCTGTGGCCGCCGTGCTCGCCCTGCCTTTCCATGTCTCCCTAATACATTAAAAGGGAAGTCAAGTCAGAACATATTGTTGACAACATTTTTATGAGCCCACACTTGTCAAAACACGACCTGATTCATTTTTCATTTGTGGCATATGAATTGAGCAGCAAAATTCAGCTGTTTTTTTTTATGCATCTCAGGGGATTGGTCGTTACCTGTGCCCTGAGGTACTGTGATGTCATTTCAATGCAAACAAGTGTCTGTTTGTTTGAGCACATAAACCAAACCTTGCAGTCATTTTGGATTTTTGTACATACAGACTCTCTGTTTTTGCACTTGACCGTCCGATCGGCTTCTGGGTCTGCTTCTCAACTGACAACGGGGGTCCTTTTAAAAATACATTAAAAGGGAAGTCAAGTCAGAACATATTGTTGACAACATTTTTATGAGCCCACACTTGTCAAAACACGACCTGATTCATTTTGCATTTGTGGAATATGAATTGAGGGGCAAAATTCAGCTGTTTTTTTTATGCATCTCAGGGGATTGTTCGTTACCTGTGCCCTGAGGTACTGTGATGTCATTTCAATGCAAACAAGTGTCTGTTTGTTTGAGCACATAAACCAAACATCCGTCTGTCCACCGACATGCCCAAAAGTAAACCTTTGCCTTCCCGTAACAAGCACACGTAATCCAACGTAGGCCTGTGCACACAAATACCGACACGATGCAAACAGGAATGGTGAGGAATGGAAAAAAAGTGCAGAGCTTCGTCGGGGGCCACATTTCTTATGGCCTTGCAGGAAAGAGTTTGAAGGCCTGTGCTGCCTCGACTCATTCTCCCTGTCTCTTCCAGGTGCTCAAGTACGCCCCAGAGACCTCTCTGTACCAGCGCCACCGCAGGATAAGGGCGCGCTGGGTCATCGATGAGATCTTCCTCACGCACCACGACAAGTGTGAATGTGCCTGTCCCTCGCAGCCTCCTCGCTGAGACACTGACCCAAACTATCTTGAATTGTTGGACACCTTCTGCCATTTTGCCATGAACTTTTTTTAGACAACCAGATACGCAGTAAATGCAGAGAAGAAATGATTTGACGGATGATGCACAGTTTGTGTCATTTCCTAACAGTAAGCACTTCAGAGGAATAATCATGAAACTCAACTAATAGTCAAACCGTACTGAACTATGCAAATAGGTGTGATTGCAACAGTTTAGCGGATCTTCAGATGTCTTTTCTGCCGCCGGCAAGGGAAGGGCGGAGGTATTTGAATCCAAGCTGTCATTCGAACTTTAAGACTAAAAAAAGCATGTGGAATTCCCCTCCCTGCTAATTTCCCACAAAGCCCGTCTTTGTTTTGCACACATTCCAGTCTGCAAGAATTCCAGCATCCCTTTGTCCTTCACACCCTCTGTAGCGTTCCCTCCCTTTTGTTTCCCCCTCACTGTCTCTTCGAACACACGGAGAACACTTGCACACACACACACACACACACATCCTCTCCTATCACTGACTGCCAAACACACGAGAGATGTCAGCACAGGCTACTGCACTCTGCCCAGTTTTCTGAGCACCCCAGGCATTCCACCCGCTAAGAGGGAATTCTGCTAACACCACGCACCTCAGATATGAAAAACATCACAGGCAGAGAGGAAACCATCTGGCAGATGTTCGCTACAGCATTTCTTCATAATATCCACTATACTGTCGTGTATGAACAACCGTGGGACACCCCTATGTTTCAAAGAATCATTAATACATCATTTTGGATCAGGAGGAAGGCCTTTTTCTTTTCCAGCATAACTGTGCCTCGATGCACAAAGAAAAATAAATCAACACGGATGAATGGATTTGGTTTGGAAGAATCACTCTTGAGCCCCGACTTCAACCCCATCACGCACCTTTGGAATGAACGAGAACGGAGCTTGCGATTAGGCCCCTTTCAGATGACGTCTAACCTCACGTATGTTCTTTTATATAATTGGGCAGACTTTAACATCTTAGAAAGACCTCCCAGGAGGCGAGTGTAGAAGATGGTTGACCTATAACGGGTGAGCCAACTCAATATTTTTCTGCCATTTTCACCTTCAGCCAGCCTGCTCATGTTTGCATTTTCAATTGCCAAGGATCAGTTTCTTCATACGCGCGCAACCCGGTAATTAGCACTTTAAAGCATGTTTTCATGCAAATGAGATGCTATTTTTCGTGAGCGTGTATGTGCGAGTTTGCGCGCCTGTGCCAGTGCTTGCGTGTCTGTCTGGATGAGGAAGTGCTTCAGGTGTGGAGAAGGCTCCCAACAGAATGGAAGCGGTCAGCCCAAATAAACTTTGCGACAGCATGTGAGACAGTGTGCAAGTACGGTGCCGTTTTGTGAGTGTTGAAGCATCACACGTACGCACACTTAGATGCAAGATTTAAAGAAGAACAGTCCTCTCTTGTCTTTCACGTGTCTTGGACAATACATTATGCGTTGAACTGACTCTAAAGCCATGTGATCTGGTTCTGATTCCTTATGATGTCAAATTTTTTTAGCTATTTTTGTCTGAGGTAAAATTGATAGAGCACATTTAGTATAAAGGCTGCAACAGCTGTATAATAAAACAACAACACAGAAAACCCCCAAATCTATTGTGCAGTTGAATAGTTCCCTTTTGCTACCCCAGTGAAATCTGCTGGATCTGGTGGGCCACTGCCCCGACTTGACCGTAATTCACATCAATACAAACAAACAACTTGTCACAGGTAATCTCTTTAGGCTACTAACCACAGTACATGCTCAGCTGTTAGCACGAGCTTCCGTTTCTCTTGACGTAATGGCCAATGGTTATTTTATTTGAACGCAAAGTAAATGCCCTTGTCGCTCGTAAGCCAGATAGCCATCCGGTCATAAGTCATCAACTTTTGATAAATGTTGTATTCCCGAGGAGAAGGTCAATTCTAACAATATTTGTCTGTGTGTTTGTGTGTGCGCTGCGTCTTTCAGTGTGCCAGTGTTGTGAGAACACAACAGAGTGGCTGTCGGTAAATACTGGAACAGAATCCAGTGGGACGACAAGGCATTTAAAGCTACTTGTGCGATTTTTTTGGACATCACTTCAACCACATAAAGTTAGTCTAGTTTTGCAGATTTACATCTTCTTTGCCCTCCATCAACCCCCCCCCTCCCCCCGACTCATTCGTGCCTCACACATATGGCTCACACAAACTCAGTGATCAGCTCTGATATCCAGTGAATGTTTGAACGAGAAAAAGTGCTGCTTTTGCTGTCTTTGCAATATTCATGACAAAACCGTCGGCTTTAATTTATTGTCTTTCGCAGTTGTTTTGTTTGGGGGGGGGAATCAGCTGGATGGTTTTGATAAATAAAAGTATTTGTCGCATCAGTGAGTCTTGTGTTTGATCATGTGAAGAGTGCAATACATTCGTGACACATGAATGGATCTCGGAGATGACGAGGAGATGAATGAAGGGTCAGACAGCAGAAGAGGAAGAAAACACGAGAAGAAGAAAATACAAGGAGAAGGGCTCAATGATGTTGTCTGGTACAGCCTTGTGCGTGGGTCGCCATGGAAACCACATATGCGCTTTTCAGGCCAATGTATCTGCAGTAAGGTCAACGTCACAGAAGTCAGATGGAAATTAATGGCTGCTGTGTCCTGAAGGGATGATTTAATTGTTGATTTTGTATCCAGTGATTGTGTGTGACAGCAGACTGCGGTTAACCGCATCCTGCCTGTGGAGGCGCTTTGATAAGAGCTAATATTTGCAGCGACATGCACTCAGACATGGAGCTGTATGAAGTCATTGTGCATCGCGTGGATTCTCTGCAGTCACACAACATGTGCCCTGGGGAACAAGAAACATAGTTTTTTTTCCCCTATGTGAAATAATAAAGAATTAATCACCACATAAAACGTCAGGTACATATTTTTAAGAAAACACTAAAAGGTACTTTTATTTTATTGTTTTTATGTTAAAGAAAGACAATGCACACCAGTAATGTGATCCTGAGCAATATGCTGAAGTCTCACATGCTCTCATGGCACTGGTTCAACCTCGGTGCACATTTTTTCCGATTAAAAAAAAAAAAAAAAACCCTCTCCTGTACAGACAATGCTGTGAGTAATGCTCTTGAATGTAATTTAAATTGTAACTCTCCTAAGGCATCTCATTACCGAACACACCGCCATCGTTTAGACTGAATTGTGATTGTTAAATATTGTCATCATCGGAACCTCAAAGCAGTTCTCTTTTAAAGCTATAAAATGCAATGCTGATAGAATGTAGCCATTGATGAGATGCAAATCACAGCCATCTTCAGAATGATGAAATGTTTTATCACAATTATACGAGTGATCAAGTAAAAAAAAAAAAAAAAAAAAAGGTGCAGAATGGTTTCATTGTTTCCAAAGCAATCTTTATAGCCATTCTGACACAATGAATTGCTCATAGAGTTTCCCATCCTGCGGGCGGGTTGCTGTATGAACAAACCATTTCTGTCTTTTCGTTCTTGAGTTCATGGCTGTTATTTGACGAAACTGACAACCAGAACAATGTGCGAATAGATACTGAAATATAAATTAGACTTGCATCAATAATGGGTTTTTGTGGCATCTGTGTTTCCTGTGCTCATTTTTTCATGTATGATAGATAGATAGATAGATAGATAGATAGATAGATAGATAGATAGATAGATAGATAGATAGATAGATAGATAGATAGATAGATAGATAGATAGATAGATAGATAGATACTTTTGGAATGCCGGGTGAGTCAGTCACTGTAGGAAAGTCTCGTAAGCACTGGGAGAGCATGCAAATTACACTCAGGAGTACATTACCCAAGATTTGAACCTAACTACGTACTCTTAATGTACCGACTCAGCAAATGCTGATCATTTGCGTTGCTTGCAGTGGAGTAGAACTTGACTGTGCTGTATAGTACATATTCATTCTAGGGCTGCCGATATCCACTAAAAAACCTGCAATACATGAGGGTTGATAGTTGGTCCAAAACCCAAAAACCTTCTATTTTCGACGGATGATGTGCGGAGGTGGTTTTCGTCTTGCGATGTCCATTTCCTTTAATGATATATGAAAAGCTGAAAAGTTCATATTCCCACAAGGCGCGCGCACACACACAGACACACACACACCCTGCATCCTTTCTGTCCCTCCTGATCTCCAGGCCCGTCCTTGCCATGTCCACAAGCACTTCCGCCCACCTCCTCTTTCACACTACATTATAGAACAGCTTTCATTTAGGTATGAATATTAGATATTTCTTTTGAATTATGTAAAAACACCATATGTGAGAAATCTGCAGGCACGGGGAAAGGACAATTGTGAGTTTCCGCGTTTAAAAGTCTCAAATAAAACGGACTTCTTCGATTCAAACTGTTCCATTGAATAAATGATTATACTTTGAGTGTAGAGTGGAATCACTTACGCCTCTCTGAGCTCTCAATGGTTAGAAAGACTAATTTGAAGCATATAATGCCACTTTGAGCACAAAAAAAAAAGGTGAATCTGAGTGGAATGTAGCAAGCCTAAGATATGCTGCAAGTGTGTGAAACACTGTGGCTGATGAAAGCTTGACGTATGACTTCTAAAAGACATACAAGCAGGATATTTCCTTCCAAATTCCTCACGTGTAATTTCATTAATTTTTTTAACCGAAATAATGAGTCAAACTATCCATACCCTTAGATTTGAGATGAATATTCAACCCATACTCAATGAATATTCAACTTTCAATGGTTGAAAAAAATATTCGATGAACATGTGAGGCGTAAATACTTCCAAACCAAACATTTTACATCTCTGGAACTTTTATGTTTGAGAGAACAAGTGAGAGATTACATTTTATGAAAAAAAAAAATATGGTTACGTGAGCCACAAGGTCAAATTATTGGTCAAAATGTCAAGTCACTAAATTATGCGCCAATCTTTCAAATGCAGATTTTGATTCCTTGTTGAATTTGTTTCCCAACAATAACTGGTTTGTGAAGTTTGACCAGGTAGTTCCTGAGATACAAGGGTTCAAAGGAATGCCCCTTTTTGACGAACGATTGAAAATCCTGTGGACCTCTTTTGTGGCAAGCCCCGGGATGACCTGGTGGGATATATTCGAGCCACTGGAGGTTTTAATTGGATACATTTTTTATGGCCAAAATTGATTGACAGTTGAGAGTTGAGCGGGGCACAGTTTCAGCACATTCAGTCGACACGCCAACAGTGTTTCTGACTCTAGAGAATGGTCTGATATTTCAAGATTTTATAGCCTCACTTTACATCCTTGAAAATACTTATATTGGAAATAAATGCATTTGTGAACTACCAAATGTTGAAAAATAGTTTGGTACCCTTCTGTTAAGCAATCTTGGCTTGAAGACGCCTTCCCAGATTTGCCTGAAAAACATTTCACTGGAAACTCTGCCCCCAGTGTGTCTTTTCTTTTTTTTTTTTTTTTGTCATGAATGCATGTGTAGGTGTGTGTTGGGGGGATCGGGGTTTGGCGGTTCATGACAATATGAAAGGAAATCTGCTCCCTGACTCTTGAGTCAGACTATCATTAGTCATAAAAGAGACATACACTTGAAAACACTTGCAAGGGAAATGTTTCACTCCTGTTTTTGTGGTGCGGTTATCTGCCCTTGCTATGCGTCACACAACCCACTCACCTAAATACTGTACTTTTTAAAATCCCATGTGACATTAAAAAAAGAAAATATGGCACTTGGGGGTGTGCAATCCATGGCCACAATATTAGATACACGTGTATTACAAGGGGTCTATTAAAAAGTTACACTTACAAAATATTGCCACTGAGAGATGAGTATCAATTCAACAATATGTTTCTTGGTTCTATACCTATTTACCGTTGGGAGAAAAAAAAACAACAACGATA